GTTCCCACTCTATTAACCTCCCTAGCGGTATTCCCGAGTGTAGCTCGGGGTAAAATTTCAGTACCGAAAGCGGTAACCCCGAGCTACACTTGGGCTTACCATGCAGCGTTGCATAGGGAGTCCCTGCAGCACTTACCTTGTCCTTCGCTCCCGCGATGCATCCCCTGCAGCGTCCCCGGCCATCTCCTCCGGCCGATGCCGGCATCCGGCTTCCGTGTTCCGGTCCCTGTGACGTCGGGACGTACGGGCGGCAAATTTGAAATTTTTAAAAAAATGTCATTTTTTTAAAAAATGATTATTACATAGTAAAACATTGCTGTTTCAAAACATTTCACATACATTTTGTCCCTAGTGCTTTGTCCTGTCCCCTGCTTGCATTTTGACTGTTCTTTCTGCCTGGAAACTTAGAAAAGTCCATGGCGTCCAAAAAGCGTCCCTTTATGTCAAAAGCGGTTTTAGACCGGCTAGAGAACAGTGATAGTAAATCAGAACCACTTGCAGAATTGAGTGATAATGATTCGTGGGGAATTTCGTCATCAGACACTGAAAACGATTCTGAGACTTTGCTCAGTGATGTGCGAACTTGGCGCTCGATTTCAAATTTCAGTGTTTTCGGTTTGATTATATTATTTAATTAAATTTATTATTTATATTATTATTTTTTATGATTATTTATTAAATTATAATTTATGATTTTGTGTTTCTAGTTTTATCATATCCGGAATGTTTACTAGACTCTTGTTCGGACAGATTTCAGTGAGTTATTCCTAAATTACAGGCCTACAATAAAAAGAAATACATATTTCCATGCAAAAAAAAAATGGTACCGCTTTCAGCCCATAAATCTGAAATTATCAGACCGCCAGGGAGGTTTCAGCAACAGGTATTGTTGTATCCACCCTCCTGTAAATTTCCATGCAATTTCTGAAAAAAAAAAATTATCAGACCGAAATTATCAGACCGCCAGGGAGGTTAAGTCACTTCTGCTCTTTCCTTGAACAGGTATATTGTTGTATCCACCCTCCTGTAGAGCTTTCTGAAGCCTTTGGTATGTGGATCTGCTGGGCCTCTTCCACTGCTCTGCTTTCTACAGTCTTTGTGCAGCACAGTGATGATGTCACAACTACTGTTATAAAAAAAGGTAATATCTAGTTTTGCAAAGGCATTTGGTGCAAACAAAAAGGGAATTTGTATCCTTTGTGGCTATTGAGGAAAATATTTAAATAAATACTTTTGTGCCTGGAGTTCAGCTTTAAAGCACCACTTTTACAACCTTGTTGTTATCAATTTATGCGGCATGTTTTTAAGCCAGTAGAATAAATACAAAATTACGAATGGATAACTGGGCAGCTAGCGAGGAACCAATATATGTTAATTCCCAAAAAAGCTAAGGAAAATGCTGTGCCAAAAACTAAATCAAATAAGACCATGTGATGAAAATAAACATATAATCAAAACTCTTAGGTGAAATAAATAAATAAGTGAAATCAATAAATAGGATAGGACCCCATGTAATTAATATGGTGCAATGTGTCCTTTACAAGATTAAGAAGTGAAAATACACTGGCACCCAAGTGCTGGATTTTCTTACACAGATTATAGGGAGGATGCACCCAACACCTAGGAGGTAAGTATTATGCTTACTAGAACCTTTACCTCCAAATAGAAGCAGACAGCACATGTGCTACTATCCTCAAGGTGGATGGATCTCTCTATGTCTCAATCATACTGCAACCCAATTCACAGTCCTTCAGTTGAACTTTCCTTGCTGGGAGTATGCCACACAATAACACGACCATGAAGGACAAGAAGAGGGCTCCCATAGTGCATTATTAAAAACTTTATTTCTAAAATCATAAACAAAGCATAAGAAATACTGAATACCTGTATCTCCATTTCTACTGTACCGTGCAGTTCTTATGCTTTGTATATGGTTTTAGAAATAAAGTTTCTAATAATGCACTATGGGAGCCCTCCTCTTCTCCTTCATGGTCATTGTGTTATCGTGCGGCATACTCCCAGCAAAGGAAGGGTTCAATTGAAGGATTGCAGAGTGTGCCACACGATAACACAATGACCATGAAGGACAAGAAGAGGGCTCCCATAGTGCATTATTAAAAACTTAATTTCTAAAACCATATAATTGAGTACTGACGTGATACTTTTTTTATTTGCACTAACATACAATTTTGAGGACAAGCTTTCGGGGTATGTCCCTTTCTTCAAGGTCCAAGCAGTACTATTACAAAGTTTTAGCAGAATGTTAGAAGAGATGTGGGGGATGAGAAAAAGAGTAAAACCATATACAAAGCATAAGAACTGCACTGTGCAGTAGAAATGGAGAGACAAGTATTCAGTTTTTTTTTTATGCTTTGTTTATGGTTTTAGAAATAAAGTTTTTAATAATGCACTATGGGAGCCCTCTTCTTGTCCTTCATGGTCATTGTGTTATTAAAAACTACAGGTCATCTCCTGTACTGTGTCCGCAGTCTCTGGTTAAACTTCTGTACTGTGTCCGCAGTCTCTGGTCATCCCCTGTACGGTGTCCGCAGTCTCTGGTCATCTCCTGTACTGTGTCCGCAGTCTCTGGTTAAACTTCTGTACTGTGTCCGCAGTCTCTGGTTAAACTTCTGTACTGTGTCCGCAGTCTCTGGTCATCCCCTGTACTGTGTCCGCAGTCTCTGGTCATCCCCTGTACTGTGTCCGCAGTCTCTGGTCATCCCCTGTACTGTGTCCGCAGTCTCTGGTCATCCCCTGTACTGTGTCCGCAGTCTCTGGTCATCCCCTGTACTGTGTCCGCAGTCTCTGGTCATCCCCTGTACTGTGTCCGCAGTCTCTGGTCATCCCCTGTACTGTGTGCCTGCTGTCTCTGGTCATCCCCTGTACTGTGTGCCTGCTGTCTCTGGTCATCCCCTGTACTGTGTGCCTCCTGTCTCTGGTCATCCCCTGTACTGTGTGCCTGCTGTCTCTGGTCATCCCCTGTACTGTGTGCCTGCTGTCTCTGGTCATCCCCTGTACTGTGTGCCTGCTGTCTCTGGTCATCCCCCTGTACTATCTCCGCAGTCTCTGGTCATCTCCTGTACTGTGTCCGCAGTCTCTGGTCATCCCCTGTACTGTGTCCGCAGTCTCTGGTCATCCCCTGTACTGTGTCCGCAGTCTCTGGTCATCTCCTGTACTGTGTCCGCAGTCTCTGGTCATCTCCTGTACTGTGTCCGCAGTCTCTGGTCATCTCCTGTACTGTGTCCGCAGTCTCTGGTCATCTCCTGTACTGTGTCCGCAGTCTCTGGTCATCCCCTGTACTGTGTCCGCAGTCTCTGGTCATCCCCTGTACTGTCTCCGCAGTCTCTGGTCATCTCCTGTACTGTGTCCGCAGTCTCTGGTCATCTCCTGTACTGTGTCCGCAGTCTCTGGTCATCTCCTGTACTGTGTCCGCAGTCTCTGGTCATCTCCTGTACTGTGTCCGCAGTCTCTGGTCATCTCCTGTACTGTGTCCGCAGTCTCTGGTCATCCCCTGTACTGTGTCCGCAGTCTCTGGTCATCCCCTGTACTATCTCCGCAGTCTCTGGTCATCTCCTGTACTGTGTCCGCAGTCTCTGGTCATCTCCTGTACTGTGTCCGCAGTCTCTGGTCATCCCTGTACTATGCATGCAGACTCTGGTCATCTCCTGTACTGTGTCCGCAGACTCTGGTCATCTCCTGTACTGTGTCTGCAGTCTCTGGTCATCTCCTGTAATGTGTCCGCAGTCTCTGGTCATCTCCTGTACTGTGTCCGCAGTCTCTGGTCATCTCCTGTACTATCTCCGCAGTCTCTGGTCGTCTCCTGTACTGTGTCTGCAGTCTCTGGTCATCTCCTGTACTGTGTCTGCAGTCTCTGGTCATCTCCTGTACTGTGTCCGCAGTCTTTGGTCATCCCCTGTACTATGCATGCAGACTCTGGTCATCTCCTGTACTGTGTCCGCAGACTCTGGTCATCTCCTGTGCTGTGTCCGCAGTCTCTGGTCATCTCCTGTGCTGTGTCCGCAGTCTCTGGTCATCTCCTGTATTATGTCTGCAGTCTCTGATCATCTCCTGTATGTATGTCCGCAGTCTCTGGTCATCTCCTGTACATGTACAATGTCTGCAGTCCCTGGTCATCTCCTGTACTATGTCCGCAGTCTCTGGTCATCTCCTGTACTATGTCTGCAGTCTCTGGTCATCTCCTGTACTATGTCTGCAGTCTCTGGTCATCTCCTGTACTATGTCTGCAGTCCATTGGTTCAGAATATTTTTTTTCTTGTTTTCTGCCTCTAAAACCTAGGTGCGTCTTATGGTCAGGTGCGTCTTATGGAGCAAAAAATACGGTATTTAATGTTTTCACCTTTTTTTTTTTTTATTTTACATTTAATTTTTTATGGATATTTAATTGATATGATTATTTTCATTACATATATATTATATTATTTGGGTTAATTTGTTGGCACTGCATTTTCTTTTGATATGGTTTAAACCATAACAACCGCAATATGAAAATTACAATCAGCCTTATGTAAGGAAGTGTTTGGTATGTCAAACTTGACAATTAGTTTAACAAGCCAAACCAGGATGGCAAAACAATTTTCATTCAATATAGGAAGGAAAGATATCCAATTTAATTATCGAGAGAAATAAGTGTTTGGTTTTTTTAAGTAGGAAATGGCTAGTACTCCCCTCATTGTTTGTTTCTGTCTGTGTCCCTGTTTCAGTTTCCTTGACTTATTATCTGTTGACTCTGTTGTCACTGTGACTATAAGCCTGGATATCAGTCAAAACCTGATAGGAGATCTAATACTTTCTCACTCCTTCCAAAGTAAAATAAAAGTAAAATGTTTTGGTTGGACATGTACTTTAAATACACTGCAATTAAGTATTACATCTTTACCATTTTTAACACCATAAAATAAATAATAAATTGGCTGTAAAATTTAAGTGATACAAATGAAATTTAAAAATACACAGTATACTTCCCAATTTAAACACATACACACCTCTTCTCTTGTTATTTGTGGACGGCATGCTATAATAACAAATAATACACCAAACAATAGGCCTAGTCCCATAATGATGAAAGGAACATTGGCTACTACTTTGGCTTTCCATAGAATGATCCTAAGTTTTGCAGAAGACTTGTCATCAATGAGAGTGGTCTGTAATACAATTTCACACCGATGTAAGTACAGCAAAAAAAAAAAAAAAAAAAAAAAAAAACATTCAAGAATAAATTGTCATTTTTAGGGGCCAACACAACTTTTCAAAAGACATGAGCTATAAAAAACATGTATACAGTACCTATGGTGGTTCATGTAAATGAATAAAAAAAATGGTGCAAGCCTACATGGCCTTTGGTATTGTCAATGAACAGTCTGTTGGAAAAGGCTTCTTGGTCACAGCTACATGGGGGATTTTTAGAAGGTCAATCACACTAATAAAGTTAATAGCATGTAATTTCAAAGGGTAGCATAATGTGTTGCTTTTGACCAATTGTGTGCCAATGATCTCCACTGTAAAATATTTGTGAAGCCAACACCATTGGCAGCAATTTGTTCCATTTATTTAGCAATCGGCTGCTGATGGGAACTAATCACTATTGAAGTGAAAATACCTGTTGATCTGCCCAAAGTTGCAGTCAGTTTCTAACTCTCTGCAGAGGGCTGACAGCGCTGCCTTGCTGCACTGAAATTCCAAGCAGCACTGTCAACCTTGAATTCTCCTTTGATTGATTACATCATCACATCCCTCTCTCCTCCTCTCCATAATGCCCAACACTTGCTCCCTTCTTAAACTATCTGCCTGTAAATTCTCCCCTACTTAAGTGCAGCAGAGGAACAGTGTTTTTAGCTCAAACAGGGAGTTGGGAGTGGACTACATTTCTGGTAGGGTCATTGGATATGCAATTATTTTAGTAAAAAAAAAAAATACCTTTTCTCACCAGTAGTTAGAGCAGTCTTGTGACTTCTGTCAGTGTTCAGCAGAGCACTGGTTAAAGTTTTAAAGAGGAGTTATCTTTCTGCTCTAGGAGGATGCAAAACCCCTGACGTCTATCTGGACAGTGCTGATTGGCCTTGTGCTGATCACATGCACTCTTCCAAGAAAAAAAAAAAAAAAACCCTCTCTAGCAATACACACTAAACTGAGCATGTGCAGAAGGGCTACGGGTTCAGTCTGTCTGATCAGCGTGGACATTTGAACAAGAGGTGGGGCATGAAGCCAGGATCAAACTGCCTTTTTACACAATGCAGAGGATTAAGTTCTACAGTGAGTATAACAAGCATGCTTTACCGCAGTTAAAGACTGATTTTACTGTTGTGGGTTTAGTAACACTTTAAGCTGAAGCACCCAGCCGGCTCTAGTACCTCCCCGCACACTGTAGGTAGCTCCTCCTCTCCTACTTGCAGGGAGATCATCCAGTTGGGGTGTCAGCATCTGCACTGCACTCTGGGCACCTACAGCTCCCTTGTCCCTATCCTGCCCTCAGTGGTAGCCGATCAGGAGTTCAGATCTGTGGGAGCCGTTGGGAGACAAGCTGTCATTTGTAAACACAGAAGCTGGACTTCTGTGCACAAGTGATAGTGGAGTCCTCTGGCTCAGGCCCTCTTTTCCCTGCTCACCACTAAGTTCTAGCTGAAAAAAGCCCTGGCTGAACACCTATGAACAGATAAACACATATAAAGTGAAGGTTCCCAAATCTTGCACAAGTTTCCCTAGGCATCATGATGGGACGGTGTCTAACTGATGCACATCTTGAATTTTTATGAAATGTCTGCTTTAATGTCTCTAGTAGGCTTTACAAACTCAAGTACAAAGATCATGTCAACTCACTGAAGTCCCTAAGCCCTTGTTCACACTGAATGTGACTTTGAAATCATGGTACTTCACTTGAAGTAGGGCGATTTCTGAGCAGCAGGTCAGTGCAATTTCAGGTGCGAATTGCCCGACATCTGTGCGACTTCATGCACACGTCTTATGTAAGTTGCACCTAAAATTGCCAAAAATAGTACAGGAACTGTTTCCAAAATCGGTGCAACTCCAACGGAGTCAGAGTCACACTACACCCTGTTCCAAATTATTATGCAAATTATATTTTTTCTCATTTACCTAAATAATTGATGTAAATAACAGTCAGCATAATTCTCATGTTATCAACTATTAAGAGTACAATTCAAATTTTATTGAACAAACCTCCTAATAACAGGATTTTTGTTAAACATAAAAAACTTACAATGCACTGTTCCAAATTATTACACACAGTAAGTTTCAAAACACTTTATAGGTTGTAAAGAACTGAAAATTGTCATTTGTTGTGTTTGCAGCATATTTACTGAAATCAAAAGCTATTTCTATCAAACTTTTAACAACATTTTAACTTTTTAAACATTTTAACAGGTCACGTTACATTGTAACATAGGACCCCTTATTTGATCGCAGCTTCACAAGTCTTGCATCCATTGAACTTGTGAGTTTTTGGACAGTTTCTGCTTGAATTTGTTTGCAAGATATCAGAATAGCCTCCAAAAGCTGCTGTTTGGATGTAAACTGCCTCCCACCCTCATAGATCTTTTGCTTGAGGATGCTCCAAAGGATCTCAATAGGATTGAGGTCATGGGAGGATGGAGACCACACCATGACTTTCTTTCCTTTTATCCCCATAGCAGCCATTGATGCAGAGGTATTCTTTGCAGCATGAGATGGTGCATTGCCATGCATGAAGATGGTTTTATTACGGAAAGCATAGTTCTTCCTTCTGTACCAGGGAAGAAAGTGGTCAGTCATAAACTCCACATACTTTTCCGAGGTCATCTTTACACCTTTGGGGACCCTAAAGGGGCCGACCTGCTCTGTTCCCATGATTCCGGCCCAAACATGACTCCACCACCGCCTTGCTGACGTCGCAGCCTTGTTGGAACAGCGTGGCCGTCCACCAACCATCCACTACTCCATCCATCTGGACCATCCAGGGTTGCACGGCACTCATCAGTGAACAGGACTGTTTGAAAATTAGTCTTCATGTATTTTTCTGCTCAATGCAGCAGTTTCTGCCTGTGAGCATTGGTTATTGGTAGCCGAATAGAAGGTTTATGCACAGTTGCAAGACTCTGGAGGACTCTACGCCTTGATGTCCGTGGGACTCCAGAGGCACCAGCAGCTTCAAATATCTGTTTGCTGCTATGTAATGGTATTTTAGCAGCTGCTCTCTTGATCCGATGCATGGATCTGGCAGAAATCTTCCTCAATGTGCCTTTATCTGCACGAACCCGTCTGTGCTCTGAATCAGCCACAAATCTCTTAATAGTGCGATGATCACACTTAAGTTTTCGTGAAATATCTAATGTTTTCATACCTCGTCCAAGGCATTGAACTATTTCACTCTTTTCGGCAGCAGAGAGATCCTTTTTTCTTCCCCATATTGCTTGAAAATGGTGCTCTGTTTAATAATGTGGAACACCCTCCATCCATGAGTTAAACTGAAAACAAAATATTTAATCTTTGTGACACCTAAATAAAATTTGCATAATAATTTGAAACAGGGTGTAATTGGAACGGTTCCACTGCCGACAAAAGGATGCGACTTGTCATGGGATTTGGAACTGTCAAATCGCAAGACAAGTCGTACCACTGTGAACCAGGGCTAAGTGAAATATCTGATGTGGGTGAACTGACCCTTTTACTTTGATAGCCGACCATTCAGCATAATGATGAATTAAGTCAGAAGTATTGATCAATGTTGGCAGAAAAACCTCTAATAAGAATGAAGCATAAAATAAAAGTAAATAGTATTAGTGAATAAAAGACATGCTCACCTCACTGAAGTGCATTACTGGGAAATAGAGAGTCCGTATATTTTTTGTAACACTAAAATAAAGAAAAAAAAAATCTATTAGTGTAGTTCGTGCCTATATTATGTCTACTGTTTGTGGACTTTACATGAAAGTGTGTATTTGCAGAAAAGGCTGTGTCTGAAAATAAGCGCTGATTGCTGCATTTTTTCTGCAGCACACTGGATGACACTGGAGGCACTGCACTGCTGTGCGGAAACCTGAATGGCGTGGACACTTTTAATAAAGTTTAAGAAAATTGCAAACAGTGCAATGCTCTGAATCAGCGTGTTTCCTCAACCGGCACACTGTATGATAGACTGACAGCAGCCCAAACACTAAAACAGAGTATACACAGCTGCCATATTGCCCCATGGCCAGTATAGAGAATGTAAAGCCAGCCTGTCAACCACAGCCCTACGTGTCCTGCATACTTTGGGAAAAGAATTACCTCTGAAAAAGTTAAATGAGTTGATTGTTCAGGTACTTTCATGTTTACAAGGCTGAAGAATGGGAAGGCTCATTCATTTACCTAATACATCCTAACATGCATGAAACATGATTACAGCTAGGGGTTTTTATTTGAGCATTTTTGGGCAGTACAGTGGCTAAGTGGTTAGCACTTCCACCTGGCAGTACTAGGGTCGTCGTTCGAATCCCAACCACAACACCACCTGACTGGCGTTTTCATGTTCTACCTTTGCCTGCGTGGGTTTCCTCCAGGTACTCCAGTTTCCTCTCACACTCCAAAAACATGCTGGTAAGTTAATTGGCTCCTGTCTAAATTGTCCCTAGTATGTGTATGTATGAATTTAAGTTAGGGACCTTAGATTGTACACCCCTTGAGGGTTAGGGACTGATGTGAATGTACAATGTATATGTAAATGGACAGTGCTATATAAGTACCTGTAATAAATAAATACAAGCCATTAAGAATCATATTTCAAGAGTTTTACATGCATATTTTAACATCAGGCATTTTTTTTTTAGTCAATGGAACACACTGGGTGGCAGGGAACGAGTTTTTCCAGGCTAAAATAACACTTGAAGAAAAAAAATGCTTGATTCAAGTGTTCACAGGCATTCCTATTGAAGTCCACAGAGCGAAAAAAAAAAACACTTCAAAAGCAGCTCCTGTAGCTATTGGAGCATCAGGCATTGAGCTACTGATGCCTCTATATGGGATTTTGATTTTCCCGTGTTTTGGAGCTTTGAGCTCCAAGCACTTACGTGTGAATGGGGCCCTATGAACACTACTGGGATACGTACTACATTCTGGAAACAGTATGTGGTAGCATTCAGTATAAATTACTTTTTGTATTTTGTGGTAATGCAGTATATTTTACGATACGATTACCACATTTTTGCCACTAGATGGAGATGACACTCATATGAATTAATCTATTGAAGAAATGACAGCCAAAATTCATGCACAAATGCTTGTGACATTCATCGAACAAATATTTTATGAATGCACTCCCTGAAGTAGATGCAACAGCAGTTTTGTGAAGTGTTATTTGCCCCAATTCCTGTCACTTTTGCTGAGCAGCCTAGTTTGTTTATAATAGTGTAGAGATAAATTAAAGTGGAACTTCATTCTCTCAATCAACACTTACTATTTTTAATCTTTATACTGCTAGTATTAGTAAATAGATAGGAAAGTATATCATATTTACTTGTTTTAACCTTTTTTTTTCACATTTCTTCAGTTACTTCCTGGTTTCCAGGCCTAGGCAAATGATGTCATACATCCCTGGTGTCTTGAGGGGGGGGTTTCTCAGCTAATCACATCCTTCTGCCTGCATGCCTGAACTAAAGGCAGATGGATTCCATGAAGTAAATGCTAAATGAATCATCTATCCTTACTCAAGATGGCCACGGCCAGAAATGCTAGGGGGTGTTTTTCAAAATTATTTCTCAAAACTAAAAAAATAAACCATGGAGATATGAATGGATGGATGGATTTGCTTTGAATATAACACAAGTCATGCTTTAAAGTGGGGGTTGTCAACCCGTTGATCCCGAGCTACCTGTCGACCTCAGACAGGTGATGGATAGCTTGATAACACAGCCCAGTTTGGCCAACACGGTCTTCTACTCAGAGCTCTAAAGCGGCGCAGGTGAACGCTCACCCAATCCTAGGCTGAAGAGGCAGCCCCCACCCCTTGAATACATGTATCTGCAGGGTGGGGAAAGCCTCCGGAATAACTCGGGAGGGTTCGGCCTCCTCTCCAAACATGCTCCAGCTCTTCTTCTTCCATGCTCATCTCCTCCCTGATTCAAGGCTTGTAGGTGGTACCAGGTGGGAAGGCGAGATAGGGTTGCCGACATTGATCAGAGCCAGGTCATGTAGCAGTGGTGCCACTACACCTTCACGGCACCACTCTGCATTTGGGAAAACGTCTGTGCTCCTTACACTCAAGCCTTCCTGATGCCCCAGCACCATGCCCTCCTGACACCCCAGTACTGTGCCCTCCTGACCCTCCAGTACCAGGCCCTCCTGATCCCCCCCCCCAATAACATTCCCCAATTTTCCCCTCAGTGCCATGCTCTCTTGATACTCCAGCTGTCCTGATCTCCCAGTACCATACCCCCCTGCATCATGCCCTTCTGATCCCTCAGTACCATGCCTCCCCTGACCCCCTATACATTGCCATCCTGACCCCAGCCCTACATACTGATGACTTCTATACACTGCCCTTTACGCGACTGACCTCTGTGCACTGACCTACATTCTACTGACCTCTGTGCGCTGTCCTACCTGCTACTGACCTCTGTACACAGCCCTACATTATATTGACCTCTGTACACTGCCCTGCATCCTACTGACCTCTGCACACTGCCCTACATCCTACTGACCTCTGTACACTGCCCTACATCCTACTGACCTCTGCCCTACATCCTACTGACCTCTGCCCTACATCCTACTGACCTCTGCCCTACATCCTACTGACTTCCGTACACTGCCCTACATCTTACCGACTTCCGTACACTGCCCTACATCCTACTGACCTCTGCATGTTGCCCTACATCCTACTAACCTCTGCATGCTGCCCTATATCCTACTGACCCCTGTACACTGACCTACCTGCTACTGACCTCTGTACGCTGCCTTACATCCTACTGACCTCTTTATGCTGTCCTACCTGCTACTGACCTCTGTACGTTGCCTTACATCCTACTGACCTCTGTACGCTGCCTTACATCCTACTGACCTCTGTACGCTGCCTTACATCCTACTGACCTCTGTACGCTGCCTTACATCCTACTGACCTCTGTACGCTGCCTTACATCCTACTGACCTCTGTACGCTGCCTTACATCCTACTGACCTCTGTACGCTGCCTTACATCCTACTGACCTCTGTACGCTGCCTTACATCCTACTGACCTCTGTACGCTGCCTTACATCCTACTGACCTCTGTACGCTGCCTTACATCCTACTGACCTCTGTACGCTGCCTTACATCCTACTGACCTCTGTACGCTGCCTTACATCCTACTGACCTCTGTACGCTGCCTTACATCCTACTGACCTCTGTACGCTGCCTTACATCCTACTGACCTCTGTACGCTGCCTTACATCCTACTGACCTCTGTACGCTGCCTTACATCCTACTGACCTCTGTACGCTGCCTTACATCCTACTGACCTCTGTACGCTGCCTTACATCCTACTGACCTCTGTACGCTGCCTTACATCCTACTGACCTCTGTACGCTGCCTTACATCCTACTGACCTCTGTACGCTGCCTTACATCCTACTGACCTCTGTACGCTGCCTTACATCCTACTAACCTCTGTACGCTGCCTTACATCCTACTGACCTCTGTACGCTGCCCTACATCCTGCTGACCTCTGCACACTGCCCTACATCCTACTGACCTCTGCACACTGCCCTACATCCTACTGATCTTTGCACACTGCCCTACATCCTACTGACCTCTGTACGCTGCCTTACATCCTACTGACCTTTGTACACTGCCCTACATCCTGCTGACCTCTGCACACTGCCCTACATCCTACTGATCTTTGCACACTGCCCTACATCCTACTGACCTCTGCACACTGCCCTACATCCTACTGACCTCTGTACGCTGCCTTACATCCTACTGACCTTTGTACACTGCCCTACATCCTACTGATCTTTGCACACTGCCCTACATCCTACTGACCTCTGCACACTGCCCTACATCCTACTGACCTCTGTACACTGCCCTACATCCTACTGACCTCTGTACACTGCCCTACATTTTATTGACCTCTGTACACTGCCCTACATTTTATTGACCTCTGTACACTGCCCTACATTTTATTGACCTCTGTACACTGCCCTACATTTTATTAACCTCTGTACACTGCCCTATATCCTACTGACCTCTGCACACTGCCCTACATCCTACTGATCTCTGTACTGTGCCCTACATCCTACTGACCTCTGCACACTGCCCTACATTCTATTGACCTCTGTACACTGCCCTACATCCTACTGATCTCTGTACTGTGCCCTACATCCTACTGACCTCTGCACACTGCCCTACATTCTGTTGACCTCTGTACGCTGCCCTACATCCTACTGATCTCTGTATTGTGCCCTACATCCTACTGATCTCTGTATTGTGCCCTACATCCTACTGACCTCTGCACACTGCCCTACATCCTACTAACTTCTCCACACTATCCTACTGACCTCTGCATGTTGCCCTACATCCTACTAACCTCTACATGCTGCCCTACATCCTACTGACCTCTGTACACTGCCCTAGATCCAACTAAGCCCTTGATGCTGCCCAGCATTATACTTGCACTAGCCAGATGTCAGAGCAGATAGTCAGGCCTGAAACTAGTCAAGAAAATCAGCCTGCAGTACCAGATGTTCTGCTTTCATGATGAACTCCGGCATCAGACATATGAGGGTGACCAATTACTTTCCAGGCATAAGAAAATGCGCATGAAAGTGAATGCGGAGTTTCTCACTGAATCTAACTTTTAAGGTAGGCTAAGCTTATATATTTTAAGGGACGGTGCACCCTGGTGATCTTTGATCGTTTCAATGTTGCCCAGGTAGATCGCCATCTCTCAAAGGTTGCCTACCCCGCTTTAAAGTGATACTGAAGGTACTCTGTTATATATATTAAAAAAAAAAAAAACACATCATACATACCTGCTCTGTGTAATGGTTTTGCACAGAGCAGCCCTGATCCTCCTCTTATCTTCCTGCGCTCCTTACTCCTCCCTCTTGATGAGTGGCCCCACAGCAGGTCACATTTGTTAAAGACAAATAGCAAAATACACAGCTCCACTGCATTTATGTGAACTTTCTGACCAGCCATGGGATTTATAACTTTCATCTATCGCCTGTGACTGGATCATGAAGAAGCAGTCAAACACATATGTGTACATACACAAAAACAAAAAAGAAAAGGAAATGCCTATGATTTCCACTCTATCCTTTTAGTGTAAACCAATGCGCATGTATACTGTACAACTACTTACCTAAATTTAGGAATTTGTCTTACATAGACGTTGACTTGCATTCTCTTGGCAGCTCTCAGTAATATTCCAGTAAGCTGAAAGATCAGGGGGAACATCATTAGGTACAATGGTAAAACCTATGTCCAGGCAAAAAGAGAAAAAAAAATCTCCACAATACATGCACGTCTCCTTTAAACATGCTGCGTGTAGAAAAAATAACTGACCACACAGCAAAGAAGCAATAAAAAGGTGGTTGATAAACATTTTTACCGTCTCCCCAATTACCCACCTACAAAATAACATATGGTAAGCAATATTTCACGTTTAATACTCATTACATCTACAGTTTCTCTTTACATTAGCAATAATTAGAAAATAAATTGTGAGAAGAAAGGCTTTCTTTTTTTTTTTTTTGAACAATTGTAACACTGCTGAGTCACAAACTTCATGTGATCAGCAGTGATAACACAGTATGTAGTTACAACAGGCAGACTCATGATTGTGAAAAGTAAAAATGATCACTGTAGTATAGAATAAAGGTCACAGATGTGGAAGAGCTTGTCTTGCACATTTGGATTAACCCTTACAGCCATTGTATAGAGAGAATAAAGGAAGTCCTGACAAACTAGAAAGAGCACAGTTAACACTCTCCCAGTGTGTTCTCTTCATGATTAGAGCAAGATGGCAATTACTGGATAAAAGGGACATGAGAAGGAAGGGATTATCACTAAAGCAGGGGCAGACTGACAACTCATGGGGCCCCCGGGCAATAGGGGATCATTGGGCCCCTGTGTCCCTGCCCAAACTCAAAAAAGCCTATGAAAAAGGTACCAGGGGCATCTCATGGGGCCCCCTACTGACCCCGGGCCCTCGGGCAGTGCTCGAGTTTCCAAATGGTCAGTCCGCCCCTGCACTAAAGTCACCCAAAGTGAATCACATACAGTGCACACTGTGGAGGTTGATTTACTAAAACTGCATGGTGCAAAATCTGGTTTGGCTCTGCCTACAAACCAATCAGCTTCCAGGTTTCACTGCCTAAACTTAAGCCCTCATGCTCACGGGACATTTTGATAACTCTGGTAACATTAGCTGTGTAAAGTCACGCTAAAAACGTGCGTTTTTCAGCTTTTTTTAGCATTAGCATTTAGCAGCGTCTTCCCACATTTGCGTTTTTTTTACCAAGAAAAAATTTTTTTTTGGGGGGGGGGGTAAAAAACATCCAAAAAAGTCGGTTTATGGCGTTTTAGCACGTTTTTCAGTGCTAGAATGTTTTTACAGCTAAAAAACTCATCTAGAATCCCACTAGTCCTGGGGGTTTTTTTCCAGCCAAAAAATGTTGATCACAGTCTATGTGTGCATGGACACATAGGATAACATTCTGGGGGGTTTACTGGCTGTACAAAGGTCAAAAGCCAAAAACAGCAGCTGTAAAACATCAAGTGTGCATGAGGGCTGACCCCCGGTTCACATATATGCTGCCATGCGGGCCGCGTTTTGCACGGCACAAGAGCCCATTCATTTGAATCGACTCCCATGCCTGTGACACGCAAGGAAGAAGTCCCTGCACTTGTTTGGAAAACGCAGCCTGCACTGGAACCTTGGTTCCTGCGAGTGGCATGCCATTAGAAGTAATGGCACCCGCCTGCATGTCCGCATTTCTCTGAGCAGGTGGTGCGGCTGCACGGATTTTCGTGCGGATCCTCAGCGGCACCACCCGCACAGATGTGAACCTAGGGCGGGTGTCGGCAACCCGCGGCTCCAGAGCCGCATGCGGCTCTTTTTCATCTTTGCTGCGGCTCCGGAGCACACTGCCCACCAGGTGACAGGCAATAGGGTTTCAGTGGTCGGCAAGCCGCGGATCGCAAGCCACATGCGGCTCTTCTGTGTGCCGGGCGCCCGCTCCCCTCCCTCCTCTCGGGCGGCCGCCTCAAAAGTCAGGACTCTTTTAATCCGGCCCACGGAGCGTGGAACATTAGCTGTCAGGATGTAGGCGGGGCAGCCAGGATGTAGGCGGGGCAGCGTGACGAACTCCTCTCACAGTCCGCCCTGAAGACCGGAACACAGCGCGGGAACACAGCGAGAGGAACGCGCGGAGCAAAGGTAAGTGAATTGAGACAATATGGGGAATTAATTACTATAGGGGGGATGAATTACTATATGGGGGATGAATTACTATATGGGGGATGAATTACTATGGGGGATGAATTATTATATGGAGGATTAATTACTATGGGGGATGAATTACTATGGAGGATGACTATTACTATATGGGGGATGAATTACTATATGGGGGATGAATTACTATGGAGGATGAATTACTATATGGGGGATGAATTACTATGGGGGATGAATTACTATATGGGGGATGAATTACTATATGGGGGAATTACTATGGAGGAATTACTATATGGAGGATGAATTACTATATGGAGGATGAATTTACTATATGGAGGATGAATTACTATATGGAGGATGAATTACTATATGGGGGATGAATTACTATATGGGGGATGAATTACTATGGGGGATGAATTACTATATGGGGGGATGGGGATGAATTACTATATGGGGGATGAATTACTATATGGGGGATGAAGCTAACTGCACGATCCTGTATATAGCATTAAGGTAAGAAACAATATATGCAGTGTCGGATTTGTTTTAAATGTTGCAATGGTTTTGCGGCTCCCAGTCTTTTTTTTCCCTTCGGAAACGGGTCCAAGTGGCTCTTTATGTCTTAAAAGTTGCAGACCCCTGACCTAGGGTAATTGAACAAGCTGAAGTTAGATGCCGATTAGCTACCATGTACAGCTGCACCAGATTCTGAGTGCTCCGGGTTTAGTAATTCTCACCCTGTGTGTCAGAGGCACATAGAGAGAACATAAAATAAAGAAATCTGCTATGCCCTTTACACCCTGAGACAATTTTCTGTTTGCTGTACTGGGTGCATGAAATGCCTTCTGTTGTGTTTTGCTATGTAGGGGATTTTATGTGTTTGACCCAAAAAATGTGAAGTGGGGTAGTTCCCAACCAAGCAAAAGTAAAAAACCCAAAAAACTCATACGTACATTTTTTATGACAGAATAAACTCTCTGGGGCTGATTTACTAAAACTGGAGAGTGCAAAATATGGTGCAGCTGTGCATAGTAGCCAATCAGCTTCTAACTTCAGCTTGTTCAATTAAGCTTTAAAAAAAAAAAACAAAAAAAACAAAACTTGAAGTTGATTGGTTTCTATGCAGAGCTGAACCAGATTTCACACTCTCCAGTTTTAGTAAACCAACCCGTTTGTCTCTTCTGTCATAGGCTGTACACTTGCAGAGCTAGGGAAGGGGGTGAAAGAATAAGGAGGTTGAGCCATTATTTTACCATCCCCAGATCACTTACCTTAACCTAGCATGGCAGCTGGAAGGGATGGTACACAAGCCACAGCCAGGATTTATGACCCATTCAAGTGAACCCATGCCATGACTGCACTGCAACCGTTGCTGTGTAGTACTGTGGACTTTCAATGGTTAAAACAGTCAGTGAGGAGGTGATATATCACCTCCTAGGCACCTGTCAAATGCCCTCTGAAAAGCAATCCAATCTATTTTTCAGAGGGGTGGCATTGCAAGCCGCAAGCATAAAAGGGCCCATACAGTAATTGCTTCTCCGTGCCTGTCAGCTGTTTTTCTGTGTTGAGTGTACACCATGTCATGCATGTCCAGCCTTGGTACAATTCTGTGCAAAGAGGAAGCAAGTCCCAAGGTCATGTGTAGGATTTATGTCATCTTGGCCTGGCCAACGAAGATGATTGAACTCCCTGAATTCAGAAGACTAGTGAACATGAAAGTGCCAGCAATGGTGGGGAGCGTGGACATTGCAGCAGTGGGAGGGATCACTTTGCTGGGTAAGAAGGCATAATGTGCAAATAATACTGTACATGCTTGCACATTATGGCACAAAGGACCAAAAAACAGCTTTTGCTACATTAATACCTACTGTATTTCTATGGGGCTTTGAGTCATAGGTGCACTGACAAAGCATTGTACAGTCCATTTCCTGTGAGCCTAGGCTGTCACAGACACCCCCCCTCCCCCACATTTTTTCTGTTTGTTGTACTTGAAATGTGAAACATCTTCAGATAGGTCTCGTTATATTTATGTCATGTTGTACGCTTTTCATGAGTGCGTACATATTTTTAATTACAAGCATACAGCAGTTTACTGTAAAGTGTTAATAAACCCACAACAGTAAAATCAGTCTGTATATGCAGTGAAGCATGCTTGTTATACTCACTGTGGAACCTAAGGGGTTAATCCTCTGTAAAAAGGATGTTTGATCCTGTCTTCTCTGATCTTCCCCTTCTACTGTCCCCAATCCATCTGCTGATAGAACAGAGCCTTGGGCGCAAGCCACACATGTTCAGTTTGGTGTGTATTGCTAGAAATTTTATTTTGTGATTTTTGTGATCAGCACATGGCCAATCAGTGCTCTCCAGACAGAGGGTCAGGCGTCCTACCGTCTCATAGGACAGTGATATGAGAATGAAAACTCCTCCTACAAGCTTTTAACCAGTGTTCAGCTGAACACTGATAGAAGTCATAAGACTGCTCTAACTGCTGATGAGAAAAGGTATTTAGCAGTTTATATTTACTAAATTTATTGTACTTCCATGTTCTGTGTACTGTGGAAGACTGAATATAGTTCCTGGGTTTAGCAACACTTTAAAGGGATTTTTATATGATCTTTTATGTTTTTTACAAGCTTGCTCTTTGAGGTTTTTGTCATTTAATTAAATATAGAGAAGTGCAGATTAGAAACTACAGAAAGCTCTAGTAAATTAGTGCAATTGCTAGATGCAGCTTATTATTAAAGATTAGACCGGCCTTTTTCAACCTTTTACACACACACACACACACACACGCGCACACGCACGTACGAACCCTTGAAATAACTTTCCGGTCTCAGGGAACCCCTGCTAAAAAATACTATATCTACAAGTCATCATATATTAGTGTGATGGTCAGTGGGAAGAATGCTCCTGACAATTGTGGTCACTGAGAATTACCCCATGGGTGTCCAGCCCACAGACCGCATGCAGCCCAACACAA